CATCTAAGTTGGCCGAGGCTACATTTTACGGCGTTTCGATCTCAGATAGTTCTTTAGTGTCTATGCTTCGTTTCACCTATCTGTTCGTCCAAGGCTGTAACTTGGTCGCGCGCTGTTTCTCGAGATGTATACGCTTGACCCTTCCCTCGTTTCTGTCATTCATGTGATACGTCATATATCGGTGATTCAACGTGATTCTTAGATAGTAATTCTTAGATAGTGATACAGATCCAAAAATAAGCGTTTTTGTTTATAATCAGTAATCAAAAAGTATATTCATTCCTCGAATTCTTTGTTATTACGTCCGATTCAATTTTTTTTATTTTTTCTTGTTGCGCAACGTTGTGCGATAAACATAAAACATCAACAAATCATCAACAACGAAATAATATTTATGTACTTGGTGATATATAAAAATGGCATAAACAATCAAATTTCATGAAAAGCGGCGTTTTTATTGCATTTAAGAAGTTAACAGAAGTTGCTTGTATACAAATTTTTATTTTAATTGCGGACGTGCTAATATTTATTAATATTTACTAATATTTTTGGTAAATTATTTCATTTTTTACATATAGCGCCAATGAAATAATAAATATTGAGATAAAAAACGATCCATGACGTATCAATTCTTTATAAAACAAATATTACTCATTTCTTTTTCGTTCATTGATGCTTCGGTAATCATCGAGTCTTAAGTAGAAACTGACGTGTGAAATCATGTCGAGGTAACTTATTCAGATGTTGTTCGACTTTTCATCGTTACGAGGTTATTATTATGATGAAATGCGATTTAGCTGTGACGGTTGAGACAAAAGATAATGAGTAACTAGATAAAACACGTACGGCGATATAGGACATTGCACCGTGGGAGCAATGGAAGCACAAAAGAAACAGAGTGCGTTTAAAACAAAATAATAAAAGTTCCATTGATTTAACAGTAATATACAGTAAAATGTCACATAATCGATTTTTTTAAATATCAGAAGAATTTTTATTTAATGCAAGATAATTGATAACATATATAATTGTAATTAGTTACAGTTTTCTAAAAAAAAAAAAAAAAAAAATCTATCGATACTGCATTCAGTATCTAACAAGAAGACACTTATTTTATCAAATGTTTGACAAAATTTTATGCAAAATCCATTTAATATAAACTTGAAATAAAAACCCATTTACAAATGCACATCACAATCTACATCACAAACGCAGACATTCATTTTAAGCTGAACCTACTTACGACGCGCTGTAAGTGTCGCTATCTACGATCAGCCTTTTTATCTCGGAAGCAACCCTGCATCTCGATCCCAATGGATCTAACGTGTCGTATCTTCAACAGTGCTGCTCGTAAAAGACACGAGGGATGATCGATGTAGTAACGGGAAGATCCGAGAATCACAGATTGTCGACGGGATCCACTCACCCGCTTCCGGCTACGCGAAGAAAATTGCTCAACGGCGCCTCGTCGATGCGTGATGAACGATAAGCATCTGTGACCATTCCGTTTCTCCTCTCTTATCAGGTAACTTCAGACGCGGTTACCTACGCGGGCGTTTCAATTTCCGAATGACCCAATTTCGCAACCGTACCACGTACACGCATGTGCACGCGTGTGCAATTGCTCCAGGCGCCGTGGATCCTCCGCGTTCCTCGACGTCGTTTTCCGACGTCGTTCGTTCCAAGAGCGCGATACAACGACGACCCGTGTCTCGTGTGCCTCTTAGGAGACGCAACGAAAAAAGCCGAAAAAATTCGAGATGCCCGCTCGTCGATTTTCGAGCGGAATTTTAAACGGACCTGGAACCAATCCTTTAAAAAAAGTAAGTATCCTTTTACCGTAAAAAATCGGGAGAGAGGGGAAAAGATGTGTACGCCATTCTTCGATGATTTCATATTTATTTCAAGGCTTGATTTTGTAACTATTATGTTTTTCGTGACAGAAATATCCGCCGGTCATTTTAGGCGTTTTGAATTTGCGATTTTTGAATTTACAAAGTAAATAGACAAGCGAATAAAAAAATTACCGTAAATCTTGATCACGCTTTTCTTATCGCTAAATAACACAATACAATTTTAAACTCTTTTATTTTTTATGTAAAGATTATACATATAGGAATAAGGAAAAATATTTAAGGAAAAATATTTGTTTGATTACCAAGGCACTTTGTTACGTATTTTTATTTTTATGAAACGTAATTCGTAATCTTATTTATTTATATCTGTATCACCTGTCTATGATATGACTCACTGATTGGTAATGTTATTTAATGTATATTACGTATTTGAAATTTATACAATAAATTTTAGAAAGGATTTATTTTTTTGCAAGAAAACCTTAAAGAAATTTTGACCTTTCACCTTTTTGAAATTTTTTATGGACTAAATGGAATTGTATATTATATGTACATCAATTATTATCGATAGGGAGTAATGCCAGGAGTAAAGGATAAAATGAAATAAACGGAAAGGATCGAGTACTAATATTATCATAATGTTGTCCAATAGTTCTTCATAACCTTCTAACTTTTTCATTGAGAAAAAAAATTTTTTTGCTATTTTCATTGAGAAAAAAAATTTCCTTTGCTATTTTCATTGAGAAAAAAAAATTTCTTTTGCTATGTTAAATATGACCATTAGATATGAGATCATGACTTTTACAGGAAAAAAAATAGCTAAAAAAATATGCTGCTAACCTTGTATTCTTTATTATCTTCTGTTCAAAATTAGTATCGCTCAGGTGTTATTGGAGGCCATTGGCTTTCGCCAAAAAATGCCGCCGTTATTGTCCTGGTTCGTCATCTTACTTGTACCTCATAAAACATGGTGACAATTTGTTAAAACATGTTAAATATAAAAACAAATTAGGGTATAACCGTTAATGTCACGTTTGAAATGTAATGCTGCTTTTTGTAACTTTCCCAACAAAGCCATACGTCAGTAGAAATGTATGAATGCAATTTGTTGTAAAGCTTAAGTCTAGAAATCAAAGGTCACATCGGCTGCTTTGTAACTGTTTGATACATAAATATCACAAAGTTGTCAATGAATATTTCAGCTAGATAAAAAAAATTCTAATGAATACTTATGTATATTTAACACTTGCATAATATATATTTAACTATATTTAACGCTTGTTCGCTGGTTTTATAAATATATAAAAATTTCAAAAAGGTGTCTTTAAGGTTTTCTTGCAAAAAAATAAATCCTTTCTAAAATTTATTGTATAAATTTCAAATACGTAATATACATTAAATAACATTACCAATCGGTGAGTCATATCATAGACAGGTGATACGGATATAAATAAATTTTCAAAGATATTCTAAAAAATTGTTGCATGATTCAACTGTATTTCCTCTTTTGTATTAACTTTTTTACAATTTTGTAATTACAATTTTTTGTAATTTTGTAATTTTTTATAATTTTAAATTTATGAAACCTTAATACATAAACAAGCAGACACTATTTTTAATTAGCTGCTATTTTTCTTTCGATAATTCCATAACATAAAACAATTTTTCATCGTCTCGGAGGCCGGTGTCTCCATTTTCTTTCGTCATGAATGCACTTTGAAGGCATCAACAAAACAACATTTGCAAGATGGCCTCCCTCTCTCTCTCTC